ATCCCCAGCCCCGATTTTTTTTTTTTTTTTTTTTTTCTCCGGTATTGGGAACCGAACTCATGACATTGCGCTTGCCAGGCAGGCACTTTTGCCACTGAGCTAAATCCCCAGCCCCAGCCAGCTGTCCTTTCAGACAAAGGACTACTATCTAGAATATATAAAGAACCCCCCCCCAAAAAAAAAAAAATCAAACCCACCAAATTTAAACACCTAATTCAAAAATGGGCATCTGGAATGAACAGACAGTTCTCAGATGAAGTAGTACAAAGAGCAAATAAATATATGAAAAAATGTTCAACACCATTGGCCATTTGAGAGATGCAAATGAAAACAACGCTGAGATTCCATCTCACCCCAGAATGAATGGCTGTTATCAAGAAATCAACCAGCCGGGGATATAGCTCAGTGGCATAAGCACCTGCCTGGCAAGTGCAAGGTCCTGAGTTCAATTCCCGGTATGAAACAAACAAAAAAAAGAAATCAACCAATATCAAATGTTGATAGAGGGCTGGGAATATAGCGCAGCGGCACAGTACCTGCCTGGCAAGCACAAGGTCCTGAGTTCAATTCCTGGCACCAAAAAAAAGAATGTTGACAGAGAAAGGAAAACTCCACTGCTGGGAAGAGTGTAGACTGGTGTAACTACTGTGGAAATCAATGTGGAGATTCCTCACAAAACTAGGACTAGAGGTCTCATTAGACTCAGCTACCCTCCTTCTTGGTATCTTCCTAAAAGAATTAAAAGCATCATACCACAGGGATATATGCATACCTATGTTTATAGCAGCACAGTTTGTGATAGTTGAATCTTGGAAACAGCCCAAATGCCCATTAACCGATGGATGGATAAAGAAGATGTAGTTCTTTCATACAATGGAGTACTACTCATTTCTAGGTAAATGAATGCACCTTGAGAAAACACTCTCCCATCCAAGTACTAACCAGACCTGACCCTGCTTAGCTTCTGAGATCAGAGGAGACTGGGTGCATTCAGGGTGGTGTGACTGCAGACGTGAGAACATACTCTTAAGTGAAATAAAGCAGACACATGTGCAAATACTACATACTTTCTCTGGTGTGAGACACCAGAAGTGCAAGTAAGGACCAAAATATATGGATATTGTGAAATAGGAAGAAAACATTCAAATGGAAGGGGAACTAGGGAGAGAAGGGGGAAAAGGAAGGAAGGGAAAAGAAAAAAATGAAAAAAAGAAGAAAAAAATTCAAACAAGGCTTTTGTATATAGGGAGGGGACAGCATCTGCCTGGCAAGCACAAGGTCCAAGTTTTAGTCCTGGTACCAAAAAATAAATAAATAAATGAGGAGGGAAAGAAGGGTTGAAGGGAGGGTAGGGGGATGGAGGAAAAAAAGAATGAAGATATAGCATGTACAGGAACAAATTTCCTATGATGAATGTGAGCATTATGTACACCTAAAATGTATCAAAGAACTTAATTTTAAAAAAATAACCTGATCGGTAGGTTTAACAGCACATTAGATCCAGCTGAAAGGATGACACAAAGACAGACCAAAAACTATCCAGACTGAAGTTGCAAGGATGGGAGCTGTTGTATAAAAAAGAGCCTAAGACATATTTAGCACAGGGGAAAGATCTAACATATGTGCTCTCCGAATCACACAAGGAGACAAGAAAGTGGAGCAGAAGCAACATCTGAAGACAGATTCTGATTGAGAATCTTCCAAATGGCAAAAAAAGCACCCAAAGATTTCTTTTTTTTTTTATTTTTTGAGACAGTCACGTTATATAGTTCAAATGGGCCTTGAACTCATGGCAATCCTCCTGCCTCAGTCTCTTGAGTGCTGGGATGACAGGTGAATGCCACCATTCCCAACTCCAAAGATTTAAAAAGCAACAGGAATTCAAAACACACACACACACACACACACACACACACACACACGTACACAAGTAGGTACATCATAGGAAACTGCTGAACACTAAAGGGAAAGGAAAAGTCTTAAAAACAGCCAGAGAAAAAAGAAACACTAAATCAGGCATAACAGTGCACACTTTTAATTCTAACACTCTGAGAGGCTGAGGCACAGGGCTCCTTGAGCCTATCCTAGGCAATTTACTGACTTGGCAGGAGCCTGTCTCCACATTAAAAAATAAAAAGGAGGGCTAGGGCTAGGGCTCAGTGGTAGATCTCTTGCCTTGAATAAACAAGGCCTTGGGTTCGATCCCTGGCACAAATATATACAAAACCCCCCAATAATAATAATAACAATTTTTAAAAAATATTTGAAAAATAATAAAATAAATAAATAAAAAGGACTGGAGATATAGCTCAGTGGCCCTGGGTTTAATCCCCAGACCATCAAAAAAGAAAAAAAAAAAAAAAAAGACATCTCCACAATGCTGACAGAATATAACCACCAACTTGGAATTCTCTACCCAAAGAAAGCACCTTTATTTTTTCTTGAGGCAGGGTCTCACTACATAGCCTAGGTTGGCCTTGAAGTCGCGGTGACTTTCCTTGCCTCAGTCTCTAGAGTACTGAGATCACAGCCGGGCGTGGTGGCGCACGCCTGTCATCCCAACACTCGGGAGGCTGAGGCAGGAGCATCATTGTGAGTTCGAGATCAGCCTGAGCTACAAAGTGAGCTCAACGGCAGCCTGAACTGCTTAGCGAGACCCTGTCTCAAAAACACGAACACGCACATGCACACACACAAAAGAGAAGACAAGCATGCGCCACCACACCTATCCATACAGTATATTGTTCATCTGAGAAAATACAAAACACACATGAAAATTACATGAAGGGTCATGCTCTTCCCCAGGAAGGAAGAACATGGAGATGGCGATGCAGCTCTAACATTTATTCCTCCCCAACTTAGGGTTCTGAAGCAAAAATGGAGAAATGGAAGTATTTATGAACCTGAATCTTACTTTTTTAACGTTTGAAATATCTCATAATAAAAAAATATTTTTAGCCAAGCGTGGTGGCACACGGCTATAATCTTAGCACTTGGGAGGCTGAAGCAGGAGACTGGTGTGAGTTCAAGGCCAGCCTGAACTGTTTATGAAGAATCTGTCTCAAAAACAAACAAGCGGGAGTGGTGGCGCACACCTGTAATCCCTGCAATTCAGGAAGCTGAGGCAGGATTGCTGTCAATTCGAGGCCAGCCTGGGCTACAAAGTGAGTTCAAGGCCAGCCTGAACAGCATAGCGAGACCCTGTCTCAAAAAGACACACACACAAAAAAAGTAAAAAAGGACAAATTCATTAAGCTGGACCAGCTAGTCCTAGGAATCATTGCTCAAAAAGTATCAGCACCGAGGACTAGACCTGAAGATTACTCCAGTGCTACAGCTGTTCCTCAGTGGCAGAGTGCTTACCTAACACGCATAAGGCCCTGGGTTTGATCCCTCTCATCACAAAGAAACAAAAGATTATTCCAAAAATTATTCTTGTCATCTCCGTGACAAGGTAAAGGAAAAATTATTTCCATCCCCCTACCCTCCCTTCAACCCTTCTTTCCCTCCTCATTTATTTATTTATTTTTTGGTACCGGGACTAAAACTTGGACCTTGTGCTTGCCAGGCAGATGCTGTCCCCTCCCTATGTACAAAAATTATTCTTGTCAGAAGCCGTGACTTGACTGAATCAAGAAAAGTTAGAGCCAGGCTTTGGTGGTGCATGCCTGCAATCCCAGCACTCTGGGAGGCTGATGCAGGAGAATTCACAAGTTGAAGCCCAGCCTGGTCAACTTAAGGAGACCCCATCTCAGGGCTGGGGATTTAGCTCAGTGGCACAGCGCCTGCCTGGCAAGCACAAGGTCGTGAGTTCGATTCCTGGTACTGGAAAAAAACAAACAAACACACAAAAAAAAGGAGACCCCAACTCAAAATAGAAAATAAAAAAGAACTGGGGGTGTAGCTCTGTGGGAAGGCCCTGCATTCATCCCCAGAAGCACACGCATACCCCTACAAAGCTGCAAATTTTTCTAAGAAACCTACTCAAAACAACTAGAGAGGAAATACACATACGCACATAAGATTAATGCACAAACAGGGTCAGGATGGACTACGAGCTGACAGGTGCAAAAAGCAGCCAGTCTAGCAGAATCCCAACACCTGCAGGTGATTTGGAGAGGTATAACTCCAGACAGGGAGCTTCCGTCACTAATTACGTCCTTTCTCTCTCTAGAACTCTAACCTAAAGGAAAAGGAAAAAATCAGTCCAGGCATAGTGGTACACACCTGTAATCCCAGCACTCAGGGAGGCTGAGGCAGGAGGCTCACTAGAGGCCAGTCTGAGCTACAAAGTGAGCTCAAAGACAGCCTGAACTGCATAGTGAAACTCTGTCTCAAAAAGACAAAAAGGAGAAGGAGAAAGTCCGTATGCACAGCAAACACTAACTGTGCCTGCAACAACAGCTATGGAGAAGGAAGACAAACAAGAAAGCATTTACTTACTTGTTGAGACAAAGATTAGCTTCAATGAAGATATCTTTAGCTTTTTCAGCGAAGTCCTTTATCTTAAAATTAGCATCATATTCTTTTATCTTCCGGATGCTGTGGAATTAAACATGAAGAGTTACCCTTTTTTTTTGGTCTTTTTTGAGACAGGGTCTTGCTATGAAGCCTAGGCTGGACTGGACTTCACAGTGATTGTCCTGCCTCAGCCTCCCAAGTGCTACAATTAGAAGTATAGGGGCTGGGGATTTAGCTCAGCGGCAAAAGCGCCTGCCTGGCAAGCGCAAGGTCGTGAGTTCAGTTCCCGGTACCAGAGAAAAAACAAAAAACAAACAAAAAAAAAGAAGTATATGCTATCATGCCTGGCTGGAGCAATACTTGAACATGAGGGGGCTCTGGATCTAACTCAGCAGCACAAGTGCCTGCCTACGAAGTGCAAGGTCCTGAGTTCGAGTCCCAGCACAAAAACCAAAAAAAAAAAAACACCTTTTTTTTTGTTTTGTTTTGGTTTTTTTTCCGGTACCAGGAATTGAAATCGTGGCCTCATGCTTGCCAGGCAGGCACTGTGCCGCTGAGCTAAATCCCCAGCCCCTTTTTTTGTCTTTTTGAGACGGGGTCTCGCTATGCAGTTCAGGCTGGCCTTGAGCTCACTTTGTAGCCCAGGCTGGTCTCAAACTCACCTACCTCCCCTACCTCAGCCTCCAGAGTGCTGGGATTACAGGCATGCGCCACCACGCCTGGTGAAAAACAAGTTTTACATGAAGAAAAATCATCTGTAGCCCAGAATTCTATACCTGAGCAAATCACAAATAAAGAAAGGGAATAAAGAATTTTTAATACCTCATTTATTTACTATGTATCCTTTCATAGTAAACTGCTGGAAAATATGGTCCATAAAAATAAAAAATAGCTGGGCATGGTGGCACACACCTGTCATCCCTGCATTCAGGTGGCTGAGGCAGGAGGATCACTGATAGTTCAAGATCAGCCTGGACTACATAATGAGACTGTCTAAAAAAAAAAAATGAAAACCCTCAACATAAAAAATAAATTATGGGTGGGGCACAATGGCTGGCACTTGTAGATCTTCTGAGCCTCGAACTTGGGAAACTCAGGTAGGAGGAGTGTGAGTTCAAGGCCAGCCTGGACAATATATATAGGGAGATACCATCAAAAAAGTAAGGATGGATAGATGGGAAGAAGGAAGGGACAAACGACATGGGACTCAAAAAACAAGGACTACAACAGAAGAGAGGATAAGGAATATTAAGTTGATGACAAAAGTACATCCCAAGATGCACAGTGGCGCTAAATAGTAACTGAGTCAGACACAAATAGGTTAAGTGGGCTCCAGGAGGAATTTGTTCTCCCTGAAGCTGAAACTGATAACTGATACTTAAAGTTCTAAATACGCCCAGAGGAACTGGCATAAGCATGGGTTCCAAAGGCAAATGAGGGCGGGCCTGTAACCCAGCACTCGGGAGGCTGAGGCAGGAGGATCGTTGCGAGTCTGAGGCCAGCCTGGGCTACAAATTGAGCTCAAGGCCAGCCTGAACTGCATAGTGAGACCCTGTCTCAAAAAAAGACAAAAGAAAAAAAAAAAAGAGTGAATTGAAAGGCACTTTAGTTTGTGAAAACACTGTATGCAGGAAAGGGCAAGTAACCGCGTTGCACGGTTTGCCTCGGCTGTCGACAGCACCTCTGTAGTTATGAGAACACCAACAGGAGACCCTGACTTAACCAAAGCCTTGATGCAATATATTAAATGGACGGAGATACCATGATGTGGAATTTCTTCCAGGAATGCAAGGTTGGCCTGACAGCTGAAAACCAACTACTGTGATACGGCATGTCAACAGGTTAAAGGACAAGTGGCACACCACCTCAACGCACACAGAACATCCGACAAAACCCAACACCTTCCCGTACTCTTGCCACCTCAGAGCCTTGTCTGTACCGCCCTCTCCGCCCGGGCTGCCCGGCCTCTCCCGCACCCTCCCACCCGGCTAACGCTTGGGGCCCTTCCTGGGGGATGGCTTTCCACAGCGCCAGCGGGCTGGCCTCCTTCCCTGGACACCTGTAATTACTTACGGGAGCTGTACGCAATCAGCACTTCATGACTATGTTCCTCCCCTAACGGTAACTCCATGGGAAGCTGCGTGCTCTGCTTAAATCGCGCACCCCGAGAACTGGGTTAGCACATACACGTACCATTCCTTCTGCTTGAGATGGCTCTCCCCCGTCTCCCTCCCCTCTTTGTAGCTAATGCGTAGTCATCTGTCACGTTCTCTTGGAAGCAGTTCTGAGCCCTCTGTGCTGGGCTAAATCACCCACGCCTTCATCAGCTCTTTGTACCTCCTCTGCCTCCACTTGTGATAGGTGTTTGGCCTGCTTCCCTCATAGTGATGGACCGGGACTGTCATCTGTAGGCACTCAGTAATGTTATAGAATTAAGAAGTGCACGGCAAGGTGCCGGGGAGATAGCTCAGCAGCACAAGCACCTGCCTGGCAAGCACAAGGTCCTGAGTTCAATTCCTGGTACCAAAAAAAGAAAAAAAAAAAAAAAACAGAAGTGCATGGCAGGAACACTTGCTGGTTCCCCCAAAGACCACTCAAAAGGGAGGTGAAGAAGGATCTTCCTGCACAGATGGTCTCATCTCTGCCTGCACCACCAAGCTGGCCTGAGGAAGGCTTCTCTTGTCTCCGAATCTCTTTAGGAACCACCCCCAGTTTCCCAGGGGCTCCTACCCGTCTCACCCCAATCCTGCCCATGAGATCCCCAGTTTAATTCCCAGGACAACAAAGAAAGGAAGGGAGAGGGAAAAGGAAAGGGGAAGGGGAAGGGCAAGGGGAAGGGAAAGGGAAAGGAAAGGGGAAGGGGAAGGGCAAGGGGAAGGGGAAGGGGAAGGGGAAGGGGAAGGGGAAGGAGAAAGGGAAGGGAAAGGGTCAGGCTTCTATTCCTTAACCAAGGCCCAAATCAGCACTCTAGACTAGATGTCTTCCTGACCCTTTTTGGCTTTTCTTACTCTCAGTTTTTAAATTTTGTTTGTTTTGGCAGTACTGCAGATGGAGCAGGGACCTCTGCACTGAACTATGTACCCAGCTCGCCCTCCTTCCCTTCCTCTCTCTCTTCCCTTTTGTAATAGTGCCTTGCTGAGCTGCCCAGCCAGGGCTCAAACTTGTGACCCTCCCACCTCAGCCTTCCCATCGCTAGGATCACAGAAGTGTGCCACTGCCTAGAATTTTTTGGCAGTGTTCAGAGCTAAACCCAGGGCCTTTTCACTGAGCTACATTACCAGCCCTTTTTATTTTCACATTCCTCAAATGCTTTCCTCTCAGATACTAGCCCTTTTTATTTTGAAATAGTGTTGCCAAACTGCCCAAGCTGGCTTCAAACTTGTAATCCCTCTGACTCAGCCTCCTGGAGTGGTGGAATTACAGGTGTGCACCACACCAGACTACCCAGATATTTCACTCTGTGAGGTTTTAACTCTAAGGTACATATATGAATATGCTCTCTTTCCCTATTTTTTTTCCCCTGGGACAGGGAAAATAAATGCAACATATTAAACATATATTTAATATGCAACATATTAAATATATATTTAATATGCATATACAGTCCACTATATAGTCCACTATATAGTCACTATATAGTCCAGGCTGACACTGAACTCTCTATGTAACCCAGGTTGGCCTTGAACTCATGGTGATCCTCCTGCCTCAGCCTCTTGAGTACTGCAATTACAGGTGTGCACCAGTATAGCCAGGTCCCTTCTATTATTTTAAAGTTTAAATATATAGTCACAAAAGGGTTCTATAGGGCCAAGTATGATCGTGCACACCTGTAATCCCAGCACTTGGGAGGCTGAGGCAGGAGGATTGCTGCAAGTTCAGGGCCTGGACTATCTAGTGAGTTCAAAACCAGCCTGAACTACATAGAGACCCTGTCTCAAAAGAAAGAACAACGAAAAACAAAAAAGGTTCTATATCCTCCAAAGTGAACCCTTACTTGATGTGACAAAATTACCAATACAGGTTCTGATGCTAAGAGTCAGAAGGCCCCATTCTTCTCCATGACACATAAACTCTGCGATGGGGGAAGAAAATCCTATCAAGTCATCAAGTTCTACCCAACCGAGAAGGTGTCTCAGCACAAAGCAACAAGAAATTTGTATTTTAACAGCAACCCTTAGTTGTCTCAGACACCTACGACAATTGTGATGTCACGTTCTTCTGCAGTCGCTCAGTTTTCTGCCTCAGCCCTTCCTTTGAAAGAGGCGACAGGCGAGCATCACCCTCTGGAGGAACGTAGGCATCAAAGATACTAGCTGCGAGGAGAAAAGAAAACCAAACAGGCCTTCAAAGATTGAGATGAGGTTATCTTGAGGGCATACAAAATCAGGAAGTATCCTGGACATAAGAGTAGACTACGCCAATACTGGGCGTGGTGGCGCATGCCTGTAATCCCAGCACTCAGGAGGCTGAGGCAGGAGGATTGTTGCGAGTTCGAGACCAGCCTGGGCTACACAGTGAGCTCAAGGCCAGCCTGAACTGCATAGCAAGACCCTGTCTCAAAAAGACAAAAAAGAAAGGAAAGAAAACATCAAAGATGACCTCATGAAATATATAATATATATATACATCATTATTGAGGTTGAGCTAATTTAGTGGTTAATTTAATGCTGTCAATCATAGTTCAGGTCATTACACTTTCTGGAGGATCTCACATTAAGGAGACTGGGGCAGAGTCCCAGAAATACTGTACCTTACCTGTACAGGCCAGATGGATGGGTCGTTCCAAACGTTCTGGAGGAATTACCACTCCTGCTTTCCGGGCCTGCTCTAAAAATTCCTTTTGTGTTTGGTACTTGGGTTCATTAGCAGGTATGAAACGTTTTTTAGTTCTTACTGGAACTACGGCTGAGGACTGAGTCACCAGTATGAGCTGGAAGGTGAGGAAAGGTTAGGATACAGGTAACCTGGGGCAAAAAGCCTATCTCTCAAACAAACTCTACTCAAAGTCTCACAGAAAAATGTCAACAGTGCTCCAGGAAAAATTGTAAGTTAATTATCACAGGGAAAGATCTACGACCACCCCCATATCTTAGAGACATCTCCTACCAGATACCTTGCCTTTTATTAACATCACCTGACGTTTATTAAAGGTTTTTCTTTAGCATACGCCACATTACTACCGGATGCAGTTCATTAAAGCAATGCATCCGTTCAAAGGTCTTTCATTCTCATTTGAAGGGGAACTTTCCAACCCACGGCTAAAAGGAGCGGAATACTTTCCTTTTTTTTTTTCTTTGTCTTTCTGAGACAGGGTCTCACTATACAGTTCAGGCTGGCCTCGAACTCGCAACGATCCTCCTCCTGCCTCAGCCTCCCCAGTGCTGGGATTATAGATGTGCACCACGACACCCGCCCCATAAGCTTTTTCAAAGCAAGGTGACTTTTTCTTCTGACCACGAGGTTTACTCTGGCAAGGGCTGTGACAATAAATGTAAGACTCCTTTTCCCGACTACTGCTCAACCTGGGCGTGGTGTAAGAATCAAAGAGAAGCATACTCATCTTTCAAGTTCTTTCCCCTTTAATACCTCCTTCTCTCCTGACAGCCCCAAACCAAATTTAATAAACTTAATTTCTCAACACCCCTTCGCCCTCACGTCCCGTCCAGGCTATCCAAACACCGCCACTAAGCACAGTACAGGGTATGGCGCACACCTTTAACGCCAGTACTCGGGAGGCTGAGGCAGGAGGATCGCTGTGAGTTCGTGGCCAGCCTGGGCTACACACTGAGTTCGAGGCCAGCCTGGCCTACACAGCGAGACCTTTTCTAAAAAAAAATTTTTTTAAAAACCTCTTCCCAGACAGTCCTAGAAATCCTATATGCCCCGTCCCCTACGCACCTGGCGAGACCACCATCCCAGAGCCCTGGTTAAGCAAGACAAGCCCCGCGCCACGGGAGCTGCCATTTTGCTGCCGAAAAGGCTGCCGGGATGGGAGCTGACCGTGATACGCGCGAGGTAAACGAGAAGGGTCACTGGGCGGAGCTAGCGGACGAGTGGAATTTTCCAAGGCGCGCGCCCTCCGCTGAAATGTGAGCCGCGCGAACGCGCACGTGCTCGCGGGATGGGTGGGGGGAGGATGCAGGCCGATGGCGCGTGCGCGGTGGCACCATATTGGGGGTGGGGGAACGCACGGCTGTCACGCGCCAGCACTAGCGCGTTTGAGCTCGAGCTGCGCCTGCGCGCGACGCTGGCCGGAAACGCTGAGTTGCTGCGCTTAATTTACATCCGTTAAAAAATGAAAATGTATCTCTCCCTGAAGCCACGGAGTTGAGAGGAGTGTTTCTGCTCAGTGCCTGGAATACATTGAAGGAACCTGGACTACAGAAGGAGCGGAAGTGAATAGTTTCTGGGTCTGTGTCTGACCTCAGTGTGCTGCTAGGAAATCTTAAACCTGAGCCCTAGATTTCCCTGTCTGACCCGTGGAGAAAATTCTTTCGGGTTAGGGATATCATACTATTTGCCAAAGCAAAGGGTACATAGATTGGCCGGAGCATTTATGATTTGTCATTTTGGAAAAGAGTCATGGACTTAAAATAAGTGATATATTTATAAATTGTTGTCGGGTGTAGTGGCACGTGTCTGTAATCCCAGCTCTCGGGAGGCTGAGGCAGGAGGATCATTGCGAGTTCGAGACGAGGCTGGGCTACATGGCGAGACCCTGTCTCAAAAACACAAAAAGAAAGAAATTGTTTACCAGGTGGCTGGCAATGTTCTAAACATTTTTTATGTATATGAACTCAATCCTGACAACAAAAAAGGACAGTATTCCCACTTTGCATCTGTTGTGTTGCAGAGAAATTAAATACGTACATTGTTTCAGTGCAAACCACCACCACCCCCAACACACACACACTGGGAACTGAACCCAGGGAGCTCTGAGCTGCATCCCCAGCCCTTTATTTTTGATTTTGAGACAGGGTCTCACGAAAGTGCTCAGGCCGTCCTGAACTTGCTATCCTCCTTTCTCAGCTTCTGGAATAGTTGGGATTACAGGGAGACACTTCCACATTTCCCTTCCAGAACCTATGTCCATTTGTTTGGTTTTGGTTTTTGTTGTTTTGTTTTGTTTTTGGTTTTTCTCCGGTATCGGGAATCGAACTCACGACCTTGCACTTGCCAGGCAGGCGCTTTGCCGCTGAGCTAAATCCCCAGCCCTTGTTTTTTGTTTTGAGACAGGGTTTCACTGTGCAGTTGAGACTGACGTTGAACTCACTTTGTAGCCCCGGCTGGCCTTGAACTTCTGGCAGTCCTCCTGCCTCAGCTTCCCGAGTGCTGGAATTACCGGCATGCATGTGACACCCGGCCAGAACCCATGTTTTTTAACCAAGTCAGAGTACTACTTCGGGGCTGGGGATTTACCTTAGCGGCAAAGTGCCTACCTGGCAAGTGCAAGGTCGTGAGTTCGATTCCTGGCACCGGAAGAAAAACAAAACAAGAGTACTACTTCACATGGAGTTGTTAAAGCCATCATACTGTTGGGATTATCCTGGAAAATCCAGTTCTGTAAACACGGCTGAATGGCGAACACTTTCCGCACTTAGCCATTGGTTCTTATTCTGCTAATCGGTATTTATAGAGCGCTTGTCCACAATATTTCGCAATGAGTTAGGAGCTGTGGTCGTGCGCACGGAGCTTTCAGGGTGAAGAATTGCTACAAAGGTCAGAGTAAAGTGCTAGAGACTGTCAGAGGAACGGAGAGATCGCTTGTGTATTTGAAGAACATGAGTATGTTTTTAAAAACTTAACAGTACTAAAAATTCTTGAAGAGTAAAAATTTCCCCACAAATTCTAGCCACAGCCCTGATTCTATAGCATAACACATTAGTAGTAACATGAAATAAGTTATATATGGGTGTTAGTTTAAAAAAGGTATATTAAGCATTTACATGAGAGAGACCTGATTATTCTTAAACAAATTGTTCACTGTATTCCCTAGTTAATAAAAATGAACTTTTCTTGCTAGTCTACCCACTGAAGTGAGGGAAGCTCCTCAAACAGATAAACCCAAATAAATTCATTTTTTTGTTATTTTGAGACAGGCCTTGCTGTGTAGTTCAGGCTGGCCTTAAACATGCTTATATATAGCCCAGGCTGGCCTCGAACTTATAGGGATCCTCCTGCCTCAGGCTCCCAAGTGCTGGAATTACAAGCATGCACCCCCAGCACACCTCACTTGTCTTTCTTATCACCCTCTGATCAGTTTCTCAGGTAGTTCAAATTTGTGTCACATCACCCTGAACCAAATAATAAAGGTAGAAATAGCATTTAATTCATCAGGAGATGGATTATAAATGAATGTAAATGAACGTTGTTTGATTAGCTGAGTTTCAGAAAATTCATTTTATCCCCCTACCTCATTAACGCCAGGCTAACTGGAAACTGCTGGGAAAGTGATATGGGAAGAGAAGTTTCCAAAAAGAATGCAAAAAGATCTTGTATTGCTGATGGGAGCAAGAGAAGAGAACTGTGTGCAACTGGAGATCAACCGTTAAGGCTCAGCCTGGCAGGAACAGCCAGGGCCGGGTGTGGTGGCACACACCTGTCATCCCGGCACTGGGGAAGCTGAGGCAGGAGGGTCATCACAAATTCGAGGTCAGCCTGGGCTACATCATGAGGTCAAAACCAGCCTGAACTACACAGAACTCATGGCAATGTTCCTGCTTCAGTTTCTCGAGTGCTGGGCTTACAGGCATGCACCACCAAGCGCGGGAGAGTTTGTGAAATTTTGCCAAGTAACCTGTATATCTGAGACAAACACAGCTGATAGGGACAGGAAAAGTCTGGGGAATTTAAAGAATTAGGTTCTAAACAGAAGGGTAGTCGGGCGCGGTGCTGCATGCCTGTGATCCCAGCACTCGGGATCCCAGCTGAAGCAGGAGTTCGAAGCTGGCTTAGAATACAGAGTAAGACACTGTCTCCAAACAAAAAAAATAAAGCAGGGCGTGGGGATTTAGCTCAGCGGCACAGTGCCTGCCTGGCAAGTTTGAGGTTGTGAGTCCAATTCCTGGTACCAGGAAAAAAACAAAACAAACAAACAAACAAACAAAAAACCAAACAAAATAAAGCAAAAGAATGCTATAATGTTTTAAGTTTGCTTTTCTTTTGAAACAGAATCTCGATATATAGGCCAGGTTGGCCTGGAACTCACAGAGATCCTCCTGCCTCAGCCTCCCAAGTGCTGGGATCACAGGCATGTGCCACCATGCTTGATTTGAGTTTATATTTTAACTCCTTGTCTATTCCTCACCCTTAGAAAGGGGGTAATTCAATACACAACTCATAGAATTCTCATAGAATTGCCATTAACCCATTACAGTTAAATGAGTGGCTACATAGTCCCACTCCGGTCAGTAACGGGCCCTGCTTCTAAGCCTCATGATGGCCATGGGAGGGGTACACAGAGCCAAGCAGGATCCTGATAAGTGGATCTGGACTCTGCTCGGTGCACATAGCATCGTGTCCCCAGAGTCCCTCCCAGGGCAGAGTCCATAGTGCAGGAGAGCTCTGGACAGATTTGTGCACCAGAAGCCCTCAGAAAGCCCTGTGCACGGTTCTCCTCCCCTGACAAGAGTTCTTATCTCTGTTGCAGCTAAAACCCTGAGCAGGCAGTTGCAAAGGCCCAAAGCCATTCCTCATTCCTGTGCCGCGCAGGCTCTCTCAGCTGCTCTTCTTCCTCCCCTCATTCCACGCCCCTGATGCGGGGAGCAAAGCCGGAGCTCCGCCAGCTCACCCACCCCAGATTCCTTATTCCAAAGGTGCATCTCGGAAGAGCTCGGCCAGGAAAGCAGCCCAGACCCCGTCCGCATGCGCAGGCCAGGTCTAGAATTAATCCCTCACCTCCTCTCGCTCCACTTTCGCCCCAGTTAGCTAAATCAAGCAATAATCCTAAAAGGGAGTTTCAGGCCTTTTATGGCACCGCCCCCCCTTCAGGAGGAGAGAGCAAAGCCCTTGGATCAGAGTAATCTGTCTCTAACCCACTTCCATCCTTGGGGATTACCTTGGCCAGGAGGGAACTAGAAGTAAATCAGACACCTGGAGGCTCAGCAGGGCACTCGGGGAGGAAGTTGCAGGAGTGCCTGGAGGGCGGGGGCCTCGAACCCAGGGGCCTCATGCCCTGCAGTAGCCTTTAAAAGGGTCCACAGACTTGGGAAGCAATGGGGGTGCACACCTGTCATCCCAGCACTCAAGGCTGAGGCAGGAGGATCGCTGTGAGTTTGAGGCCATCCTGGGCTCCACAGTAAGACCCTACTTCAAAAGCAGAAACAAAAGCAACGCCTCGCTCGTGTTTGCCAGTTACAGGTGCTCAGTGAAGGTGCGGGGGTGGGGGGCAGAATGGACAGTGTACAGACTGGGGAGGTGAAGGCAGGAACAATCCTGGGTCCCGTCGACAACCCTCCCGTCCTTTGTGCGCACCACGCACCTCCGCACTGCTGCTTGCCGGCTCTGATGCGTCCTGTGGCCTTGGGAAAGTCACCTCGGATCTGTGGTGGCTAAAAAAGTCTCTGTCCAGAGCCCTGAAAGCCCACAGACCTGTAGGCATGGAGCTCCCATTAAAAATGCACAAAGGCCTGCGCCCACTGAAGAAAGGAAGGGACTTTGGCTCCGCCTATGGACCAGGCGCTTGGCAGTCATCGTGTGTCTTCTGCATGCGTTCTGGACCCCTGGACCTAGACCTGTAAGCGCGCTCCCCACGCGTTCCCTTGGGATGGTCTGGGGGCGGCCTGTGATGCAGGAAGCGTCCGCTAGGGGGAGCCAGGGCTGCGCTGGGATCTGAGGGTGCGGGAGGCGGGCAGCCCCGCGATTCCAGGGTTTTTTGGTACCGACTGCGCTCCCACGCGGGTCTCCTAGGCTTTGGAAGTCTGTGGGCTTGGCATCATTTTGATTTGATGTCATCCTCAGTCAAAGGCAGCTTGGAATCCACAGGGACGCTGGCAACTCACAGAGCC